TGACGTGGATAGAGCAAAGCTTTCTGGACCTTCATTTGTTGATGGGGAATGACTCAAAATAAGAAAAAACAACTGTAACTATCCATTAATAACTGGAATGTGGAATTAATCTAGGAAACCAGGAAGTTGTTAAAAATGAAATGAAGTGGAACCTACTACTACCACTAAGAAAGAAGAGTCAGGAGAGGAGAGCGTCCTTTTGACGTGGTGTGCCTGCACTGAGAAACTTCTAGATCTAAGGAAAGACTGATGCCAAGATACATGGAGATCTCCAGAGCCGGCACTCTGAATTCACACTTCTAGCCTCCTAAACTGTGAGAGCATACACTTCTGTTTGTTAGGGTTATTCACTCTGTTACAGAAGCACTAGAGAACTAAGACAATCTGATACCAGAAAAGTGGGGTACTGCTCTAACAGATGCCTGAAATGTGAAAACGGCTTTGGAATGGGATAATGAGCAGAGAATGGAGGCTAGGAGACTATTAAAAAGAATTACGGACATCAAAGGCAATCCTGATGAAGGCTTAAAAAGAAGTGAGGAACCATAGGACAATTGAGAGGGAAGAGCATGAGCAGAGTGTGGGATGCTAACCAGAGAAGCAGCGACACCAGAGATGGAAGCAGAGTTGACAGACAGAGAGACGAGCAGCAGAAGACTCTAGACCTATTTAGTGAGAAAGGCTGTGTGCCAGTGGAAAGAAGGCTGACTTGCAAAACGTGCCCTTTGGTTGTTTAAATGAACATATATTTTCTGTGTGTTTTGTGTACATTAAAAAAATAATAAAATAAATAAAAAAGGGACTAGAGGGAAATACTGTTAACCGATGGGGCATACAGGGGATTGTAATCATTGCAATGAAACCAAATATGATTGGTTGAGTGCAAACCTGATGATCTACCCTATAAACTATCATCATCACACAATTTACAATAATAGCTTTTTAAAAAAAAAAAAAAAAGTGAAGAAAACTGTAATGCTGGAGATGGCACAGAGGGTGAGAAGCAGCAGCAAATAAACTACAGCCGCAGAGCCAGGACAGTATCACAAGGTCACACACGAACCATGCAGGAGGCTTCCAGGCAGACAGGGGTGCCTCTGGGCACCTGTTGGTGAAGTTAGGCTCTCTGACCCACAGAGCTAGAGAGCTGAGCACTGTCAGACCAAGGCTTATTTGAGTGGGGTGTTTCTGGGCACTTATCTGTAGAGCTAAATCGCTTTATTCTACTTGCTGGAGTAGAAGAGAGGCTATAATGGCCTCTCCTAGAGATCAAGGGACTAGGAAGTAGAAGTTGAAGAGACAAAGGGCACTGGAAACAAGCTGCCTCAGTCTCAAAAGGTAGGGCCATGACCTCTGAGGCTCTAAGGGTGGGGCCACAATTCCCTAAATTTCACAGAGTCAAATCAACTGGGTTAAAATGGGGCCACTGCTGAAAGCTCAGGGGTTGGGGTAGCCATGCCTGATGGGGCAGAAGAATGGGGCCTGCTTGGTCAGAGGGTTAAGGTGAATGGGGCTGCCAAAGCCAGGGAAGCAGAGCTTCCATCCCAATGGGCCTGGAGACAGAGCCGAAGCCCAGGGTTCAGGTGTTTCTACCAACAGTTCATAGAACATAGCCAATACCCAAAGCAAAGTCAGAACTTAGATGTTCTAAGAACGACAATTATTTTCAGGCTTTGAGAGCGAATGTCATCTTTGTGCTGGGTTTTATAACTTGCTTGATGTCCATTATCCCATCTTTCCCTCCAATTACTACCATTTGTAATAGAAATGCATGCTTGTACTTTGGAAGCAATAACTTGTATCCTAGATTCAGAGATGAAAAGAATTTTGTGCTAGATTGGAATTTGGACTTGGAAGACTTTGGGGATGATATGAGGGATGAAAAATGTCTTGCGTGGGGCAAGGACATGAATTTGGGTGGGGAGCAAAGGATGGAATGTCATAGATTTAATTGTGTCCCCACAAAATATGTGCCAATTATGTAATGATGTAATGTGACACTTACGTGATAAGTCTGATAACCCAATGGCCAAACAGAACTCAGACACCATACTAACAATTACTGGGATATCAGGGACGTTAACACATTACAATTTGAGATCACAATTGCTAAGGGCACAGTTGTTCCAGACAGCTGCTGATAAATGCCTAGAGGACACACCATACACTCAGCATTTCTAAGCTGAAGGAACTAAAGAAAAAATTCAAGCCTTGAAGTGAAATATTGAGGGATTCTCTGGGCAAAACTGGATCTCACAACTGGCTCAATAAATAACATCATGATAAATGGAGAAAAGACTGAAGTTGTCAAAGACTTCATTTTGCTTGGAACCACAATCAATCATGGGAGCAGCAGTCAAGAAACCAAATGACAATTGCACTGGGCAAATCGGCTGCAAAAGACCTTTTCTTCACAGTGTTCAAGAGCAGAGAGATATCAGTTTGAGGACTAAAGTGTGTCTGACACAAGTCACGGTATTTTCAATGCTTCACATGCTGGACAATGAATAAGGAAGACCAGAGAACTGATGCATTTGAATAATGGTGTTGGTGAAGAATACTGAGAAGTATCACGGATTGCCAAAAGAACCAACAAATCAGTGTTGGGAGAAGTGTAGCCAGAATGCTACTTGAAAGCGAGGATGGCAAGACTTTCATCTCCTGTATTTTGGATATGTTGTTAGGAGGGACCAATTGCTGGAGAAGGACATCATGCTTAGTAAATTAGAGGGTCAGTGAGAAAAAGGAGGGCCCCTCAATGTGATGGACTCACACAGTGGCAGCAACAATGGACTCAAATGCAACAACAATTGTGAGGATGGCCCAGAACTTGGCAGTGTTTCATTCCACTGTGCATAGATAGGGTCACTGAGTTGGAACCAACTTGACAGTACCTAACAACAACAATATGGGCAAAATAATAGAACGAAGCAGGAAGTATTACAGGAAGATGGAAGGAATACAAAAAAAGAATTTGTTACATTCAACCATTTTGTTGTTGTTGTTAAGTGCTGTTGAGTCGGTTCTGACCCATAGCAACTGTGGATAGGGTTTCTGAGGAGCAGCCGGTGCATTTGAACCACCGACCTTGAAGCTCAGACAGCTTTGCACTCTGGCGCATTAACCCACAGTACCACACCAGGACTCCTCAACCATTTTAGAAGGTAGCATATGATTGAGAATGGATGATATTGAATAAACAAGTCTAAGCTACACTGAAGGCATCAGCAAAAAACAAGGTTTCCAGAACTGATGGAATGCCAACAGAAATGCTTCAACCAACTTATACATTACTGAAAGTACTTACTAGTCTAGACCAAGAAATTTGGAAGGTAGGTACCTGGCCAATCAACTGGAAGAACTCCATTATTTGTGCCCAAGCCAAAGAAAAGTAACCCAACAAACTGGAAATTACCAAACAATATCATTAATATCACATGTAAGTAAAATTTTAGTGACGATAATTCAAAAACAATTGTGGCAACACATCGAGAAGGAGCTGGCAGAATTTCAGGCTGGATTCAGATGAGGATGTGGAACAAGGGGTATTATTGCTAACATCAGATGCTTCTTGACTGTAAGCAGAAGACACTGACTATGCAAAGGCATTTGACTGTGGAACATATCAAACTATGGATAGATAATATTGCAAAGAATGGAAATTCTAGAATTTAATTGTGCTCAAGCAGAACCTCTACATGGACCAGGAAGCAGTCATTTGAAAAGAACAAAGGAATGCTGTGTGGTTTAAAATCAGAAAAGGTGTGTCAAAGTTGTATTCTTTTACCATATTTATTCAATCTGTATGCAGAGCAAATAATCTGAGAAGGTGGATTATATGAAGAGCATGGCATAAGGATTGGAGGGAAAAACCTTGTGTTTTTCAGATGACATAACCTTGTTTGCTGGGAGCAAAGAATATTTGAAATACTTGCTAATGAAGATCTAAGAATACAGCCTTCAATATAAATTAGAACTCAAATGTCAAGAAAACAAAAATCCTCACAACTGGACCAATAAACATCATGATAAATTGAAAAAAGTTGTCAAAGATGTCATATTGTTTGGATCTATATTAAATATTCATGGAAGTAGCAGTCAAGAAGAAAATGATAAGTTATTTGGGGGTGGGGAGGAGACAGGATTATGAAGGGCCTTCTAGGCCTAAGAACATTGCACATAATTCTGAATGCAATGGGAGAATCACTGGAACATTTTCAGCAGCAGAGTGTTAGGAAAAGAGTTTTAATAAGATAGAATGGTAAGACAGATTAAGATAGACAGTGAAAAGAGCTATAACATTTATTTATTTTTATGCCCTGGTGAAGAAGTCTTTAAACACAGGGCTGTTAACTAAAAGGTCAGTGGTTTGAAACCAATAATTGCTCTGAGGAAGAAAGCTGTAGCAGTCTGCTTCCATAAAGATTACAACCTTGGAAGACAAGGGGCAGTCCTAGATGTATTATTTATAAGATTAGAAACCACTTCAAGTGTTGGATTATGGGACACTGACCCCTAACAGTTTTTCACTAAGAAGAGAGAGTATTCTAACATTGTACATATAAAAGCAAAATGTGCTTTTCACAACAGGAGAATGTTGAAGTTCCCTATGTGGAGAAACCTACCACTCATCTGTCAGTTTGTTGTACTGTGATGGATTGTGTGTTGCTATGATGCTGGAAGCTATGCCACAGGTATTTTAAATATCAACAGAGTCACCCACGGTGGATGGGTTTCAGCAGAGCTTTCAGACTAAGACAGACTAGGAAGAAGAAGAAGCAGACTATTTCCGAATGTTTAGCCACTGAAAAACATGAACAGCAATGGAACATGGTCAGATATAGTGCCAGAAGATGAGCAAATATAACTACAATTGTGAGGATGGCACAAGACTGGGCATTATTCTGTTCTATTGTGCATAAGGTGGCTATGAGTCGGAAGGACTCATTGGCACGGAACAACAACAATGTGGAAAAGTATCAGTTTGCAATGGTACTTACCAACAGTGGTCACAGGAGGCTGAGAAGGGTACTGGGAACTTGTTGTGGCAGGAAACTGACCACCTGGTGGGTAAGGGCAGCCCGGGTAAGCACTAAAATGGGAAGAAAAACATTCAATGTTTAAGCAACACATTATAGTATCTTTAAGAAGATTAAAGATACCATTAAAGAAAATTAAACTTGATACACTGTTTTACCAGTAAATGGAGTTTTAGAGTTAAAGGTGTCTACTCAAGCATGATTTTATAGAAACTGCATTAATGGCATGGTATTTATTGTTTTTAACAATACCTGATTATGTTTTCAATGGAAGTTTACACAGAAAATTAAGTTCCTATTTGACAATTTCAACACAGATTATTCAACAACATTTTCACAATGTTCCAACATTCTCTTAATTCCATTCTAGTTGTTTGGATTTATTCTTCAAGTTATTGTTGTTAAGTGCTGTGGAGTTGGTTCAACTCCAGTGACGCTATATAGGGTTTCATGGAATGGCTAAAATACTCTTGCTTGTCCCTGATTATTTAAGAGTCACCTTTGCAGCAGCAAAAAGCAACTACAAAGTCTAAGTAGCAGGATCCAAATCAACAAATATTATGTCAGAGAACTTTTCCCTTTTGATTTCCTAGGCTATAGGGAAAATATATTTTCTGTGGTTTATTAATAACCTTTGTGAATATTTATTGTTAAAATATCCTTTTAACTAATAAAGCTTTAAAAGATATTCTTCTTACTCTATGGCTAGTTTGTGTCATTCATGTATACCTCCTATTCAACATCATCTGTAAATATAATTTTTACAATAACCCTGACAATGGATCATTTTTCCTTATTGAAGTAACTTTGTAGGGTAAACACTGGACTGGGAACTACAGGGCAGCCAGTTTGAGACCAACAGTTGCTCCAAGGGACAAAGATGAGGCTTTCTGATCCCTCAAAGATTCACAACCTCAGAACTGACTCTACAGCACTTAACAACAACAAATACTATATGTATGAATAATGGCTCTAAATCTGCATTCTGGAAAGTCACAGAATAAGCAGCCAAATATCTGAAGACTTCTAACATTTTTCCTTCCGTCTTCTTTCATCAGGTTAAATATTCTTAGTTCCTTCAACCACTCTTCACAGGAGAGTGAGAGATAAGATTTTGATTCAAATTCCCTTTCCCTGAATTTTCCCAAGGTCTTTTTCCCCTTAAGAAAGAAAAGCACAATAAGATGATTTTTAGCTATTGTTATTGTGTATTGTTAAGTCAGTTCTGATTCACTGCAATCCTGCAAATGGTCTCTGAAGATGTAAGTCTTTAAGGGAGCGGAAAGCCTCACATTTCTTCTGCAGAGTAACTGGTGGATTCAAACCACCAATCCTGTGATAACAACTCAATGTGTTAGTAGTTAAATAATGCATCTTGATAATTCTTACTTGAGCTATATAATCGCCAGATCTGTGACATTTATAATTCTGATCAGCATGACCTTTATGAGTCCTGTCAATTTACTGATTAAAAAACAGCCAGCCTAGGGCCTTGAAGCAAGAGCTCTTAGTTCATGGTCAGTAATTCTTTTCAATTCAAAGATTTCTCAATTTGTACTACCAACTCACATTTTAAAACTTATTCCCAACAATATCATGGTTGGATAAGACTTACTGAAAATGCAATGTAATCATGGCACTTTCTTGCAAAATCAGACTGAAAAAAAAAAGCTAAGTGCTTTTTTCCCTTGGCAGGCTCATGCTACCTGCTATGGAACACTCTTTAAGTGGTGGTGGTGATTGTGTGCCGTCAAGTTGTTTTCAACTCACAGTGACCCTGTATAGGGTTTCCAAGACTATGAATCTTGACGTGAGCAAAGTCTCATTTTTCTCCTGCAGAGCAGCTGATGAATTCAAACTGCTAAACTTGAGGTCCAATGCATAATACACTAAGCTACCAGAGCCCCTTAGTCTCTTTAGTAATCCATGCTAAAATGCTGCAAGGAACATTGCCAATCTTCCTGAAATTTTTTAATCCATCATTCTGAAAACTGGAATATTTTTTCTTCAGATCTGCTCATTTTTGTTTATCTTTTCAAAGACAAGCTTGTGATATTACAGAGTTTTTTGAATAACATATGAAAAAAAAATTTCTGGGCCTACAGATAACCTGAAACTCCCTGTTTCTACTTAGTTTGCTTAATTTTCCCTTATGGTTAATCTCCACATTCAGGGTTAACAATTTTTCTTGAGTTAAACCAACAGAAAATTAAGTGGTACTATTTCCTATCTTGATGAAGATTGAAGGTTTCAGCAAGGGTTATACCTCAATGTAAAGAAATCAAAAATACTCACAATTGAACCAATAAATAATATAATGATAAATGAAGAAGACATTGAAGTTCTCAGAGACTTCATTTTTCTTGGATCCAAAATCAACATTCAAGAAATCAAATGACATACTGCATTAGGAAAATCTGCTACTAAAGACCTCTTTAAAGTGCTCAAGAGCAAATACATAATTTTGACGATTAAGGAAGAGGAAGACCCACAATGAGATGGAAAGGCAATGTGGCAGCATCAACTGGCTCAAGCATGGCAACAATTGTGAGGTTGGCCCAGGACTCGGCAATGTTTCGTTCTATATAAGATGGCTATGAGTCGCTACAGACTCAATGGCAACCAACAACAAGGTGCACCTGACTCAACCATGAAATTTTCAACTGCCTCATATGCATGCAAAAGGTGGACAGTGAATAAGGAAGACCAGAGAACAATTGATGCATTTGAATTATAGTGTTGATGAAGAATATCTAAAAGTATCATGGAATGCCAAAATAACAAACAAATCTGTCTTGGAAGAAGTACAGCCAGAATGCTCTTAGAAGTAAGGATGGTGAGACTTTGTCTCTTGTACTTGGGACATGTTTCAGAAGGGACCAGTCCCCAGAGTAGGACATTATGCTTGGTGGAGACTCAGAAAAAGAGGAAGACCCCTAATGTGATAACTGACATAGTGGCAGTAACAACGACCGCAAGGATAACAAAACTGTGAGGAAGGCACAGAACTGGGCATTGTTATGCATAGGGTCACTAACAGTCAGAGCCCACAGCATCTAACAATAACATTTTCTATTTTGTATATGATTAAAGGACCCCAAGTGGTGTGATAGTTAAGCACTCCACAGCTAACTGAAAGGTTGGAAATCTGAGCCCACGAGTTTCTCTCCAAGAGACAGTTGTAGCAGTCTGCTTCTGTAAAGATAATCTAAAAACCAAACCTGTTGCCACTGAGTCAATCTAACTCATAGTGTCCTTGTAGGAGAGAGCTGAACTATCCCATAGCATTTCCAAGGCTGTAATCTGACTCGACAGCACTTACAAGTTTTTATTGTGAATTGAATGATAGTTTAAATGGAAGAACATCGGTTTTACACCATCATTTCATTGCAATGATTACAATCTTCTCCATTCATCATCATTCAACAGTATTTGCTTCCATTCCCTTTTTGTTTTGTTTTGGGGTGTGAGATGGTATCTCATTGTTGTTTTGATTTGTATCTCTCTGATAGCTAGTGATCATGAACATTTCTTCATAAGTTTGTTGGCTGCCCAAATCTCTTCCTTGGTGAAGTGCCTTTTCATGTCCTGTGCCCATTTTTTAATTGGGTTATTTGTCTTTTTCTTGTTGACTTGTTATAGTTTCCTATATATTTTAGAAATGAGTCCCTTGTCTGATGTATCATTGCAAAAGATTTTTTTCCCATTCTGTGGGTTCCCTTTTAACTCTTCTGGTGAAGTCTTTTGATGCACATAAGTTTTTAATTTTTAGTATGTCCCACTCATCTATTTTTGTCTACTTTTGTTTGTGTGGTTTTCAAAATGTTTTGTTGTCTGTGTATTCCCTGAATTAGTGCCCTCACATTTGTCTCGATTTTTTTACTGATGGCCTTCATAATTCTGGGATTCACATTTAGGTCTTTAATCCATGTTGAGTTGATTTTTGCATAAGGTGTGAGGTGAAGGTCTTATTTCAATCTTTTGCATATCATTTTCCAGTTCTGCCAGCACTGTTGAAGAGACTATCAACTCCCCTAAAATATATTTAGGTGTTTTGTCAAAAATCAGTTGGCTGTACGTTGTTGTCAGGTGGTGCCATCGAGTCAGAACTGACTCATAGTGACCCCATGCACAGCAGAACGAAACAATGTCCAATCCTGGGCCAACCTCACTACCGCTGTCACACTCGAGTCCATCAATGATGCCACCTGGCCAATCCATCTCGTT